CTTCTTTTTGTGGCTGTGGATGCCTTTCAGCACGGCCTTTTTGGCCTTCAAAGCTTTTGCTTTGGCTTCAGCTTTGGGAGGGGCAGGGGCTTCCTTCTTTGCTTTCGGTGCCATCTTGGTAAAAAGCTCCTTTTTTTTTTTAATGGTGCTGAAAGAGCCCTTCCTTTGCACATCATCCATGTTGTTCCTTAAGATTTACCTTTGCTCAAGTTGTTGAAGGATGCTGAATTTGTTTCATGGTTTTTGTATTTGTGTCTAATGCATGTTTTAACATGATAGATGTAATGCATTATGTAGCTACAGTTTTCTGGAAAAGTTAATCTTTTAGGAATTGTTTTTCAGATCTTCAATAAATTTTTTCTTTAAATTTCAAAAAAAAAAAAAAGAATAATCTAGACCTTTCCCATTTCTCTCCACACTGTCAAAGTGCAGTTTGTGTGTGGCTTTAACCCCCTTTTCCAAGTCAAGCTTGTTTCCCTTTTTTCCACAGTAACATCAAGTACATGAGGAGCCAGCTTGACCGACTGGGCCTGTGTTTCAGCTGGGATAGGGTAAGTCAGCCCTCCTCCCAGGAGACGAGCTGTGGGAAGGGTCCCATTGTGTGTGGCTCTGTCCCTGGGCTCCAGTGGGAGCAGGGAAGGGAGGGCAAGGTTGGCACTCCACAGACAGGGAAGAATCCTGAGCATATAACCTGCCTGCCAGAGTTTATTTCATGAACTTCTTGAGTGGCTGTAATGTACGTGTGGGGACCGGGGAGATGGCTCGGGAATAAGCGCTTCCCTGGCAAGCGCAAGGGCCTGAGTTCAATCCCTGGTTCCGCCAAAAAAAAAGACTAATATACGTGTGGCCAAAGCTTTGCTCAGGATTTCACTTGCTCTGAGTAACAGTTTAAACAATGAGTGCAGACTGTCAAAGGGAGTGGCTGTCCCCCCATGGACCTACAGGTGACTGGGAAGGTGACTTGCTGCTTTATTTATATTTTCTTCCACATTTGGAATGGAGGCTCATAACAGCCCAGTGTCGCTGTCCTGTGTAGCCTTTCAGTGTGTAAGACTTGTAAACCTTTAGACACCAAAACCAGTGGGGACCCAGGAGGACTCAGAGAAGACCCGGGGTTATGCTAGCCATGAAGGGGCCCTGCAGAGCTCTGGCCGATGGGGCCCGCTTAGCCCGGCGGAGTGGCCTGCGGTGAGTTGGGCTGCTGCTTGTCTTGTCCCTGTTGAAGGCCCCGTCCCTGTCACCTGCCCCCCAACGCACACTTCCTGCGTGGAGTCACTGGGTGTCGTGGCCTGCTCTATGCAGCTATATCCCCTGAGTCCCGAGAAGTGTGGCAGTAAACGTGGTGAGCTCTCTTCTCCCGGCCCGCACAGTTCCTTAAGTGACTGAAATCTGGAGTGCAGTGGGAAGAGCCACAGACCAGCACTGGACAGGCCTTGGGCCATTTTCTGTTTCTTTTTGTAACTTCTTAAGGTAAAGGCGTGGACCGAGGCAAGTTCTGATTGCGCCTTGGTGCCTGTGTCCCACGTCTTGAGGGCCAGCAGGGTGTGGGTGACGGAGGATAAAGTGCTAGGTGCCGAGCAGGTCAAGTGTGTGTTCCCAGAGATGAGCAGGGACTCGTGGGCATCCAGAGAGGTGGCGGGGCTGATCCTGTATCAGAGAGGCAGTGATTGGCAACTCAGAAATTATGATTGTTTTCCTGATTATCATAGCAGATTAGAAAATACACAAAAATATAAAAATCCTAGTCAGCATGGCTAATTTAATCTCTTGCTATGGTTCCTTGCAGTCTTTTGTCCTGGAATTAAAAACTTCTATATGATTTGCTTTTATACAAATTATTTATTTGTTTAATTAATTTATTTAGATGCTGGAGATTGAACCCAGGGCTTCATATGAGCTGGTTAAGCACTCTATTGCTGAGCTACACACACAAAATTTTTAAATATTACTTATTTTTAGTGTTCTTGAATAGTTTTACATCTTATTGAACCTTATTTGAAGAATTGATTTTTATACCTGCGTAGTTTTCCTTTCTACGAATCTCTCATGGTTTTTCAGACTGTCTCACAGTTATCCTTCCAGGTGGAGGCTGCTGCTCCCCTGTTACAAATGCAGGGGCTCAGTCCCTCTTGGGCAAGCATGAAGTCCAGGAAGCTCTAGAAAGTAACTTTGTTCTCATAGTTTGACTGTGTCGCCTGACCCAGGGTGCTGTTTATCTCACTTTTCCCAGAAGAATACTAAGATTGCCAGGCACTGACCTGCACCTAGCTAGGTAAAGGCCTTTACTGCGAAGCACACCGGCTGGCAGCACTCACCAAGGGCCTGGAATCTCTCATCCAGTGGTGGAGGTTGCATGTTCAGAGTTGCGCTGGGGCCAGTACCGTGCAGTTGCCTGTGCTTACCTGTCTGAGTTGGTCCTAGAAAGCTGAAGAGGCAGGTGCTTCTGATGTCTCTCCTTTGCTGGCCACCTGGGGGCTGGGGCGGGGTGGAGCTACTCCTCTGGCCAACCTGCAAGTCCCCCCACACTTGGGGAGAACTCTTAGTAGACATATTCTGTTTCCCAAAGGTGGATTTTCACGGAGCCAAGAACGAGTCCAAGGGTTGTGGTACTTACTGCCAGGTTGTCCTTAATGAAGGTTATATAGGTCCACGCTCCTGAGATACCACACCCCTGAGGTACCACACCATCGTGCCTTTCCTTCCTTGTTATCAGTGATTTCACATCTGGTTTTGAGTGAGGGTGGGGTTTCTTCAAGTGTTTCCTGAACATTGGAATTTGGGGCGCTTGTGTCAATGATCTAATCAGATCTTTTGCATATATACCAAGGGACACTCATCTTTTTTAATGAGTTTTATTTTCTTACAAATACTACTTTTGCTGGCAAGTGTGGTGGTGCACACCTGTAATCCCAGCATTTGGGAAGCTGAGGTAGGGGGATCACTGTGAGTTTAAGACCAGCCTGGGCTACAAAATGAGTGCAAGGCCAGCCTGAACTGCACAGCAAGACCCTGTCTCAAAAAGACAAACGAGAAAAAAAAATAGTACTTTTTCTGAATTACCCGTTTCTATATTTGCATTATAAAGTCATTTTTCAACCAATAAGAGACAACTGTATTGGCTGGCGAGATGGCTCAGTGGTCTAAAGCACCTACTTGGAACAAGCTTGGCAAAGCACAGGGACCGCGGTTCAATCCCCAGCACCACATGCCAGCCAGCCTTGCCCCTGGTGGGCTGAGCTGGCCACACACACACACACACACACAC